TGTAACTGACAACTTATTTTTTTATGGTCATCGGCTAACGTTAGCGACCTTATTCCAAAAAAAAAAAAAGGTTAGCGGGCTTATTCACTACAGCTCCTAACTACTGTAGGCATCAAATGGAAATGTCAGTTAAATCTAACCAAACTGTTCTTAAATAAAAAAATTATTTCTTAAGTTTACATTACTTCAAAATGGGTGTGCTTGCATTACCTGTAGATTAAGCTTCTGCCGTGAATGACTGTTAAGACAGATGTGGAGGATGGTGTGTCCGCCAAAAAAAAAAGGCGCGGGGCTCATCTATCCAACTGTGAGAAAACACACAAACATATAAATTAATTTTCCACTAGAAAAATAAAATAAAAATGTGGCTTAATCACTGCACATTAAATATTGTCTTTGATAAAAACACCGAGGTAATGTCGCGCTGGAGCTTCGCGTCTTTGCTAGCTAACACAAATTAGCACTGCTTTGTTCTTAAAACTAAGTGACATCAGAATAAAACGTTCGAACTTTCAAAAGTAAAATAAATTGAATGAAACAGTTCGCTGTGCTTACCTGTTACTTTTCTTCTCTCAACCGTTCTTCTGATTCTGTGATGATTCCGTCAGCCTTGGGTGATGGGCAGCTGAGACTCAGAAGAAAGGAAATGCACGGCTTCCTGTCCGGTGTGTGAAAACGAACGTGGTATTTTTCCATAATCAAAACTAATTACATTAGAAACAAAAATGTAGTGCATCGTAGTGTAACTGATTTGACTGAAATGTACTTTTCATGTTTTTGTATTTATTTGATTACTAGTTATGTAGATATTTAATTAGTTATGAAAAGTATAGAAGTAAAGATACCTAGGTATCATAAATAATTTATTGCAAAATATATTTTTTAATTAGTTTATATTATTTTAAAATGGGTATGCTCGGATTACTTGTTGATTAGGTTCCTGTCGAGTGTCATGTGTTCGTGGAGGATGGTCTGTCAGTCACCCCTCTCTATTTAAAAAAAACCCCGCGGAACTCGTGCTGCGAGATTTACTTTACAGAATATAAGATGTAGTCTTTCGATTCTTTATGTATTTTTCTCATATGTATTTATTTGATTAGTTATGGAGTTATTAAATGGGTTATGAAATGTATAAAAGTACAGGCATTAATACAAAAGTAATTTCTTGAAAAATGATATATCAAATAAATTAGAAACCCACCTACTGTTTTTTTTTATCCCTTTTGAATATTAATTTGTTGTTAGCCATAGACATTAACTCGATTAAATAAATTAATTTTACTTAAATCATTGGAGTTAAAGTAACAAATTATAAATAAGCAATTAATAACCTGAGTCGTTGAGTAAATTGAGATTGAGTCGTGCTTAATATAATCAGTTATTGAGTTCACCTAACTCTTTTTTATTAAGTTTAAGTAACTTTTAAAAAAATATAATCAACTTTAGTGTACCGAGGTAAAGAATATGTAGATCTAACAAAGAACTGTGTAAATTTGTGTGTGGGATTGTGACTATGTATGAATTTTCTCAATCAGAGTCACAATGGTGACAAACCAATGTTTTTAACCCTAGAGTGCAGACTTGGTGGATCCAAAAACTGCATAGCGCACATTTATCCACATTTCCTTTGACTTTGAGCTGCCAAAAAAGCTTCATATAGACAACATGAAAGTTCTCAGTTCTATGTAAGGGAATGCTAAAATGTGTTACAAATTACCCCACCCCTGTCATCCAATGTTTAGTTAGCTGTATTAGCATTATGGTTTGAAATTAGCAGTTTAAAAATGCATCACATTTTGCCTGATAATCTATAATTTATTCTAATGTAAGTTATATGATTTTATCTGCAACAGTTCAAGTACTAAGTAAAATATAGTTTTGGTCAAAAAATTTTGATTTTTACATCAAAATCAGTTTTTTTCTTTATAAAATCTGCATATACCTATTTACAGCCTTGACAATCATTCATATAAAATCAGGGTGAAAGTGGGTAAATAATGAAAT